TTGCTTTTTTGTGCGATTTACTTGTATGGCCACTCATTTTTCTTTTAATTTTTCAACTTAATTACTTTGTACCTCACAATGTCGTTATATTTGTTAAAATCTTTTTAAAAGTTGTTTGTCTTCAATTTCATTTTTTTCATATTTGCTAACGGTCACTCGAACGTACCTGTTCAAAAATTGCTCAACAATTTTTGAGTCTGATTTGTTCAGTATGTTCTACGATTTCGGAAACTTTTCTGGAATCAAAGATAAAACACTGGTCAAGAATTGTATATTGCTATAGCAAGCCATCAATTTATTATATAGAAATAGTATAAAAAAAGAATTTGACAAACAGCTTTTCTGCAAAAATAATCAACACTTAAGATACAGTTTCATGATATATTTTCTCGAATGTGTATAATTTCTTGAATGAAACTTTAGGTTGTCATTTTTGAGAGTTAATTGGAAAAACCTTTTGAGTAAAGCGCTGATCCTTTTTTGCTGAAGCATTGTCAATACTTTCAACGTATTTATTTTAATTTTCTCCGAAAAAAGAGCTTGTTTCTAAGTATTCGACATAGCTTTTTCGTGCGATTTACTTGTATGACCACTCATTTTTCTTGTAATTTTTCAAATTAATTACTTTGTACCTCACAATGTCATTATATTTGTTAAAATCTTTTTTAAAGTTGTTTGTCTTCAATTTTCATTTTTACATATTTGCTAACGGTCACACGAACGTACCTGTTGAGTCTGATTTGTTCAGTATGTGCTACGGTTTCTGAAACTTTCCTGGAATCAAAGATAAAACACTGGTCAAGAATTGTATATTGCTATAGCAGGCCATCAATGTATTATATAGAAATAGCATAAAAAAAGAATTTGACAAACAGATTTTCTGCAAAAATAATCAACACTTAAGATACAGTTACATGATTTATGATCCCGCCAATGTAATACCGTTACAACAACAATATACAGAGAGGCATACAGGAGCTTGTTCGCTCTTAATAAAACCCAACACAAATGTATGTCGAAAATGAGCATTTAATATAAAATGCCAATATCAAACAAGAGAACACATGTACAATATGATATCAAAAAACAAATTTTATAAAATATAAAAAATATCAAAATTATTCATGTAACCAATATGGTAAAACCATGCATATGACAAGACTGTAAATAGTGATTGATTCATCTGATATAATTAGAGCAAAGGTGGGGCATAAAAAGCATCCACAAACATGGAAATAAAAATAACTAGACTATCAAATACTGATTTGAGAAGTGATTACACACCACATGAGACGAAAAATAAAACATAACACAAATTTACACTTTTTTCAAATAAAAAAGATTTGGTTTCAAAGGAGGGAGGTAGGGGAGGAAAGCGGAAAATCGACGAATTAAATTTTTCGTGAGATAAAATTTCTTTTCTTTGTTTCTCTAAACGAAGGTGTTGTCTAAAAAGAGACTTTTCATTGGTTGATCGGCTATTGATCTAAACAAGAAACCTGCTAAAACAATAGCAACAATCCTGGCATTATTGAGGGACCATCAATTCATTTATGCTAAACATAAATACCTTGATGATCCCGCCAATGTATTACCGTTACAACAACAATATACAGAGAGGCATACAGGAGCTTGTTCGCTCTAAATAAAACCCAACACAATTGTATGTCAAAAATGAGCATTTAATATAAAATGCCAATATCAAACAAGAGAACACATGTACAATATGATATCAAAAACAAATTTTATAAAATATAAAAAATATCAAAATTATTCATGTAACCAATATGGTAAAACCATGCATATGACTAGACTGTAAATAGTGATTGGTTCATCTAATATAATTAGAGCGAAGGTGGGGCATAACAAGCGCCAATAAAGCTGTTTGAATTTTAATGTCTTAACATGAAAAGTCAAACAGCAGCCCCAACCGATTTTGAGAGTTAATTGGAAAAACCTTTTGAGTAAAGCGCTGATCACTTTTTGCTGTCAATACTTTCGACGTTTTTATTTTAATTTTCTCCGAAAAAAAAGAGTTTGTTTCTAAGTATTCGACATTGCTTTTTTGTGCGATTTACTTGCATGACCAGTCATTTTTCTTGTAATTTTTCAACTTAATTACTTTGTACCTCACAATGTCGTTATATTTGTTAAAATCTTTTTAAAAGTTGTTTGTCTTCAATTTCATTTTTACATATTTGCTTACGGTCACTCGAACGTACCTGTTCAAAAATTGCTCAACAATAAGTCTGATTTGTTCAGTATGTTCTACGGTTTCGGAAACTTTTCTGGAATCAAAGATTAAACAATGGTCAAGAATTGTATATTGCTATAGCAAGCCATCAATGTATTATATAGGAATAGTATAAAAAAAGAATTTGACAAACAGATTTTCTGCAAATGTAATAAACGCCTAAGATACAGTTACATGATATATTTGCTCGAATGTGTACAATTTCTTGACTGAAACTTCAGGTTTTCATTTTTGACAGTAAATTGGAAAAACCTGTTGAGTAAAGCGCTGATCCTTTTTTGCTGAAACATTGTCAATACATATCTTTCAACTAACTTACTTCGTACCTCACAATGCAGATATATTTGCAAGAATCAGATTAAAGTTTTTTGTCATCAACGTCATCTTTACATTTGCTAACGGTCAGTCGGACATATCTACTATAAATCGCTGAACATTTTTGCGTCCGCTTTTTCTGGATGTTCTACGATTTCGGAAACCTTCCTAGAATTAAAGATTTAACACTGGTCAAGAATTGTTTATTGCTATAGCAAACCATCAATGCATAATATGAAAATAGTCTTACACAGATTTTCTGCAAAAATAACTAGCACTTTATAGACAGTTACATTTGCTCGAATCAGTACACTTTATCATTTTTGACTGTTGATAGGAAACACCTGTTGGATAAAGCGCTGATACTTTTTTTGCTGAAACATTGTCAACATTCTCGATATTTTTATTTTAATTTTCCTCGAAATAGTAAAAAAAAAACAAAGTGTTTCCTATTATTGGACATTACTTTTCGTTCGATTCATTCACATGGCCACTCAATTTTCTTTGGACTTTTCAACAAACTCAATTCGTACCTCACAATGCAGTTATATTTGCTAAAATCTTCTAAAATTGTTTGTCCTCAAATTTATCTTTAATATTTTCTAACGGCCACTCTGACAAACCTGTGAAAACATCGCGGAACAATGTGTGGGTCGGATTTTTTCAGCATGTTCTACGATTTCGGAAACTTGTATAGGATCAAAAATAAAACACTAGTCAAGAATTGTATATTGCAACAGCAAGCGATCAATGTAGAATGTAAAAATAGGATACAAAAGATTTTTTAAAACTGATTTTCTGAACAACTCTTCAACACTTTTAAACATGCAGTTATACATTTTGTACATTTGCTCGATTGTGTAAAATTTATTGTCTGAAACTTCAAGTTGTAATTTTTGAGTTAATTTCAGTGCGAATAACGATTAGGATTTAGTTATAGCAGCTAATAATGGCAAGTTTTATATATATATTTTTAAAATGTAATCCTCTCTTATTATTTCCATATTCCTTCTGGGGTTTTATTAGGCGAAGAGAAAAAGAAATGCAAAAAACACATGAAGCTTGAAGGCAGGGTCACGTTCCAGAAAAAGGTTCAACAATATCGAGTGCACCACAGTCAATTCTATTTCTAACTCAACACTATAAAATATAATGAATGAGCACAGATGAAGATATATCAAGCAGGCAAAACATTTAAATGCTTTTGTTGTTCATCGGAATTTTCCCCTCTCATATCATTTCAATAAATAGGAATTATTAGCCAAATATTATATCTTTTATTTGTAAAAATGAATTAATAAAGTTTTGATATCTACATTCATCGCCATGAAATATCCAGAAATTAAGAATTCGATCAGATGTATTCACCTACTATAAATGGGGAAAATAATTATTCATGATTTTCCTGTATGACGAAAATTGACATTGACTCGGGGGGGGGGGGGGTCTTGCAAGTGACAGTTATTGGTTATTCTAACAGGACCACCTGCATACGACCCAACCTCACCCATCTTTTCCGTATTTTGGAAGGTTCGTGTCGCTTTTGTTTTTTTTAAATTATTTGTGTATTGCTGCATGTCCTTTGTTTTTTGTTTTTTTTCATGTGTCCGAAATATATGTTTGTCCCTCTATTATGTTCCTTTGTAAATAATGCTTATTTTTTTTCTTTCAAAATAAAGTATAATTGTAGGTGTACATATCTTTATTTCTGTGCTTAATGTATAATTATTGTATTCAATCAATTTTACTTTTGAGATCTAATCTAAAGTGAAGTGTTTGAAGCTGGAAATATACAAATGTAATTCGTATTTTGACGTAATATATATATAGTAAAAAATACTATATTAATAACTCCACCGTTTTCTATCAAATAAATGCAGGAAAGGGTTTTATGTTCAAATTTATATAACACAATTACAACCTGTCCAAAAACTTATTTAACAAATCTACCACCTACGTTTATTTAATTTCAAGAGACTACATCGGTTTCGAAAAAAACATACGATCACTACCTTAAACTGCGACATTTTTTCCCTTGTTTTTGTTTCTAATATGCATCGTCGTTGATAAGCGAAGGTTTGTATTATATTGCTATACTGGCAAAAATATCAGATTTTTAAAACAAAAATCTTGCAAACCAACGCCGACACCTGAAAATTATATAAGCCGTTGTAGCCCCTTAGTTCATGAAGCAAGTTTTAGATTTTCACTTTGCACACCTGTGGGGGTTTAGGTTGTTAATCAAATTCTTGATAAGCTATATTTACACGGAATAATCTGTGGCTTGCACATCAACGCTTGGTCAAATATCTACTTCCGATGAAAGATTTTCTTCTAACTATGATAATACAATTATTTTACTTGGTCCTCGTATTGCGGCATGATCTTTAAAACGTTAGCAATATTATTTTTTTTTTCATTTTCATTGTAGCTGAAAATGATGTTAGGAGGAAAGAATGAGAGCAACACAAAGATCATTTTTTATATCCAAAGACGGACGAGGATAATAGTTAAAAAAAATACTGTGCAAAAAGAAATACATAAAAGCACCAAAAACAACACTTACAACGAGCATTGTCATCCAAATTGGTGCTAAAGGAGACCGACCAAAACATGAGAAAAATGGCTGTAAAATAAGTATTGATGCAGAAAGTGTTAAAATCAATTTGAAAGTTTTTTTTCAAGAAAAAGCCTTAATGAGCGACGAAATTATTGTATTGGAATGTGACCTTAATAGAAAAATAAACGTTTGTTTTATTGTAATTTGTTCTTTCGTTGTAAATTTGTTTCAAAATGAAGAAAAACAAATGTGTGAACTGATGGATTTTTTTCCAGTCCTTTTAACAAATATTTACCTGTAACAAAGCATTACAACAATGTATGCTACCTTCAGCTGTCCAAACTTTTTAAGAAAGAAGAGGGTTATTTTTTTTAAATATTTGACAGTTAAAGGTAACATAATAGTTTTTTACCGGTAAATGCCAGTCTAATCACTGAAATAAAGACGGGTACAACAATAGAACGACATCTCAGCAATGTTTTAGAAATTAATCAGACCTAGAAAAATCGCAATTATGCTATTGCACGTGCATGTTTATCTTTTTATGTCCATATTTATATCAGGTTATATGACAATCGGCAGTCTCAGAAAGTCATCTCGATCTCGATGGTTAATTATATGGTGTCTAGTCTATTATTTTTAATATGCTCAGTATGTAACGAGCACTTATGGAAATTAAATTTGTGGCTTCTTTTACAGTTGTGAAGGAGGTGTGATAATCTGGGAAATAGTGTTCGGGAATATAACTCTTACAAAGACAAATGTTGGAATCAGCATTGTCAGTTTCAAAAGCGTAATAGATAGTCAAACATCTAAGAGACATCCTACAAAACTATTAAACAGCGTAAGAGCAAGAAGTGGCGGAAAAATAATAACAAACGTGTTCGCTAAAAATGCACATATTCATACCGGATAAAATTAACTTTCCGTTTTGAATGACAATGTCAGACTTATTATAGCTTACGTTCAGCTGATTCTAAAAATACATGATATCTATGTATTGTTGCTTGAAAAAAGGGATAAAAAATTGTTATTTTCCATTGCATATTATAAATAACTTGACACTTATTCTATCAATATATAAATCTACTTTCACATTAAATTAGCGAATGGCTATTATGGTTTCTGAGTAGAAGCAATAACTAGTAAAAGTAAATAATGAGCACATGACCTTGACCGCATGTTCAGTCGTCAAGGAGATTATTCCTAAGGAAAAAGTATTGGGTTAGACAGTGTCAGTTTCAAACGCGTACAAACCGTTCAATATAACATACAAAATATCAAGCTACTTCTTTTGAAACACCAATACAGAGCAAGAAAAACTCTAGGCGGAAAAAAACAGACGTAATCCAGAACATAAGAAAAGCCCTTGCCACAGAAAGGTGGAAAGATCTTTAAATAATCAATACAAAATCAAAATGTCTTTACATTAGAATGTGGAAAGACCTAATATTAATAATATTAATAATTATAACAAATTGAAAAGGTCTTTTTTCACAGAAAGAGGAAAGATCGAATTAAAGAAAAACGTGGGTACAGGTGGACCCAACTAGCCATCATGCTATTTCTATATAAACATTAAAAGAACCAGGGGTTACAGGCGGACACAACTGAAATAAATTATGTTTTTTCTAACGACATTTTAAATCAACCAATTTTCGAAAGAAATGAGCTTACTCTCAAAACAAGGATGCATGGATATTTCCTTGCTTCTATGGCCCCACTAGTAAACCAATTTTAATCTGAAATGGTCATTTTGATCTGAACAGCTTTTAAAAAACTGAACAATAAATTATTACGTCATTTTCAGTTTTTCAGTCAATTTTGCAGCTTATCCACTGCGGTAAATTCAGTACTATTCAGACAACTCGCTTGCAGTCAATTGAGATCGGTTCAGTATATGTTGAGCCTGTTAAGTAGCTGCTATTTACCTGTACACACGAACACCATACTGACTTGTCTGAAATGCTACTGAACCTACTGAATTGACTGAAGGTGAGCTGTCTGAACAGTACTGAAATTTGCCGCGGTGGATAAGTCTGAAAATTGACTGAAAAGCTAAATATGACTGAATAATTTATTGTTCAGACATTGCATGCATATCCCGTTTAGGTCAAAATGACCGTTTCAGACTAAAATTAATTTACTAGTGCCCTAAGAACCAAAAAAAAAAAACACAATACCTAGAACATATTCTGCTTTAAAACCTATAAATTGGAGAAAATAAATCAATATTTGTTTTTTTTTAAAAGGCTTTGACATTTTTTTCTAGAAAAAGTATACTAAAAAGTTTTTTTTTATTTTTCATTTTAGTGTGTTATAGAACATGTAGAATATTCTTGGGTATTTCTATGTTTTGGTATTGATAGTTCACTACAAAACCTCTAACTATTTATTCTCAAAAGTTTTTTTTTTTTTTTTGCTGTGTAAAATGGGTTGAAAAATAACCCCATTTTTCCATAAAGTACTTTACACATAAATATATGATAAGATGTTATACTACAGGCCAATGCAAATAATCGATCAATCGATCACGGGCTAATACAGTTTCTCTCATTCTTATCCGATTTATCCTTTTCCTGACTAGTTGATTTTTCTTTATTTAATCAACGTGTGGTTCGTTTTATCTCAGTTATGCATTGGTCAAAATTCGATTATAACGTCAAATTTTCTTGCTTTCCTATTTTTATTTTATGAGAAAAGGCGACCATGCTCGTGACGTCACATAGAAAGAACACATCTTTTTGCAGATAATTTGAAAAGAAGGAATAAGTTTGCCTGCTAATTGTAAACAAAATCATTAGAAAAACCGTTACCACCACCAAATCGTGTGTTATACGATATTTATCCACTCTCGACAGTAACATTTTTAAATTTAACTGTCTGGATAGATATCGTATCACACTTGATGCAGTGGTAGAATCTATATTTATTTTTGTATTGCTTATTTAATTATTAAAGCTTTTAATGTTGTATAATTTCTATTTTTGTCCCCGAAATCCCCATCCGTAATTCAATAATAAAATCATAGTTTCAATATGAGTGTACTTTGTATTCAAAACATTAAAACAGAATGTTACCAAATCACCAAAAGATGGTAATACTTTTTAACGATTATCTAGAACTGCATTCCGTATCCTTTGCTACAACTTCATTTTCGTTTTTTTGAAAAACTGCGGCTGCATTATGTATTATCCGAAGTCCATTACTAGGGGAAAGATACTAGTTATACAGTACTTGCAACCTTAGGCGTTACTGTTTGACGTGAACTTGACTGATCGGTGAATGATCGGTGACGGATGTTTGACTGATCGATGACTGATCGGTGATCGATGACCCATAGAATCCGTCAGATACGTCAAATAAGCTATGTGAGAGTTACCTTGACAACGGTCAGCGATCGATCAGTAAAGTAATTATATGCACGGATCTGACAGATATGTATATAATTAAAATTCTTATGAAAAACGAACTCCACAGTATTTACATTCGATAAACGTGGACCTCTACGAAGACACCTTTACTCGTTAACTTTTTATCAACTGGTTGCAATAACACATAAATAATATATAAATTACTTTTCAAGCATTATATGTATTACTTAATACTCTCTTGTACTTGAACGTGGTATGTTTTATTCAAAATCGAAAGGCCTCAAGTAACGTTTTTTTTTTATAAGAATTTCATACTTCATTTCAAAATTGTAAGGGGAAAAATACTTCAGCTTTTTTGTGTTGAATACGGTGAATACGAATGTAATAATTTCTTTATTTTGATAGAAATTACGAAATTCCATTAGATTTCAGTATTTTTTGTACATCAGGATTGATTGTTTTTCATAAAATATGCTAACTTTTAGGTAAAAGCTACTAATTTTTTTTCGTGTTGATTAAAAATGCAAACATTTTTTCTTTAATATCAAAAATAAAGCAACCTTAAATCAGACATTATAAATGAATTAAGATTAGTACATTTGTATAAGATGTAAATAATTTAAGCATATATGCATAAACTTCTGTTTTTGTTGAATAAGAATGCAATGTTTTTTTTATTTCAATGGAAATTATTGACCGCCATTGGATTTTTGTAGTTCAGGATTGTTTTTTTTCATTAAACTAAAAGAATATCAGAGAAAGTATACTAAAATGTTGTTCGCGATGTATAAAATTAATATTGTTTCTTCTTTTGATAAAAGATAATGAATGTTATTTGAAACTAGTTATTTTAAAGGCTTCGAGATCAGTTTTTTTAAAAGAAATCTAATAATGTAAGGAGAATAATACTTAAACTTTTGTTTGTGTTGAATTCATATACAATAGTTTCTTTATTTTGATAGAAATTATGAACCACCATTAGATTTCAGTACTTTTTGTAAATCAGGATTGGTTGTTTTTCATAAATAATGGTGAATTTCAGAGAGAATACTCAATTTTTGTTTGTGTTGCTTGAAAATGCAAATATTTCCTCTTTTATTTCAGAAATATTGCAACGTCATTTGCAATCAGTCAGTACAAATGCCTTTAGATAAGCAGTTTTGTATAAAATGTGAATTATTGAAGGATAAATATGTATAAACTTTTATTTTTGTCGAATAAGAATGCTATCATTTCTTTATTTTAATGGAAATTATTGACCGCCATTGGATTTTTGTATTTTTTGTAGTTCAGAATTGGTTGTTTTTCATAAAATTAAAAGAATATCAGAGAAAATTTACTAAAATGTTGTTCGCATTGTTTGAAATTACCAATTTTTCATTTTTTGATAAAAAAAAATGCAATGATTTTGTAACTAGTTATTTCAAAGGCCTCAAGATACATGTAAGATTTTTTATGAGAATTTTAAACACATAAGGTTTAAACTTTTGCTTGTGTTGAATAGGAATGCGATAATTTCTTTATTTTGAAGGAAATTATGAACTCTCATTTGATTTCAGTTCTTTTTGAACATCAGGATTGGTTGTTTTTTATAAATTATGCTGAAATTCAGGGAAAAAATACAAAGTTTTTGTTTGTGTTGCTTAAAAATGCATATATTTCTTCTTATATATGAGGAATAATGCAACGTCACTTGCAATCAGACATTATAAATACCTTTATATAAGTAATTTTGTATAAAATGTGAAAAATTTAAGAATAAATATGCATAAACTCTTATTTTTGTTGAATATGAATGTAATAACTTCTTTATTTTGATAGAAATTATT